AGGAAGTTTTTGTTTGTTTTCGCTATTTTTTTTTAATTTGGTCACACAGCACAGCATGTGGGATCCTAGTTCCTGGACTAGGAATTGAACCCATACATCTTGCATTGGAAGCGTTGAATCTTAACCACTGGACTGCCAGGAAAATCCCTGGAGAGAAATTTTGTAAAACATTCAAACCAGAGAAGATTGACACCTTCAACTAAATTCCAGCCCTAAAAATCAGCGAGCTCCTCTGTGGAAGGTTTCACCAGGACTCGGCAGAAGCCTGGACAAGGCCTTCTCTGCCCATTACTCACTCTTCTGCACATGATTAAATCCATAGACTTTAAGGAGTTTCGGAGTTGGCTGACTTTCAACACCCATTTTAAAAATGTATCAAGTTGGAAGAAGATCTAGTCAACATGCCTTTATAATATATCAAATATTCTGTAAACTCTCATCTTCCATCTGTGCACTAATATGCTTCTGCTGGTATTTTATTTTCCCCTCTCAGTCAGAGTGTAAGTTTCCAAAGTCAATTAAAGATGACAATGATTAGAAGCTAACAGCATCACTATTCATGATGCTCTTAACTACATCACTAGGCTACAACTTAATTGAGGACTCGGATTGACTTTGTGATTCTTTTTTATATCTGGTGGCTAATGCATGGCTGGCATATAACAAGGGCTCATCAAATGCTTGTTTAATTAATTAACAAAGAATCAATGAATGAATGAATAAATGAATAAATAATTTTAGCAGCTGCTCTTAAAGTCTGTTTTAGGATGACCCAAGTTCTAAGAGTATGTGAACTGCCTTTTTCTAGTGTTCAGATTTTCTTTAATGAGTGTCTGTGACATTAGGTTTGAGTCTAGACCAACAGCATCAGGATCCCCTGAGAGCTAGTTAGATGACAGAGTCCCAGACCCCATCCTAGACCTACTGAATCAGAGACTGCATTTTAATAAGACCCCCACATGATCCATGTGCACCTTACAGTTTGAAAAGCAAAGTTGAATATAACTCAATGTAACATTTTAATTAAAGAAAGTACCCGACTGTGACAACTAGGTGCCCTTGCCATTTATAAGTTCGTTTTGTTGTAAAGCATAAGCAGTTCTTACCTTCTACAACCCTCCAGTCTTATGGTATCCACATTTTTCATTTCAACAATGGGGCATGGAGCAGTGACAAGTTCCTCCATCTCCACTCCCCCCCCCCCCCGCCCCCCGTCCTGGAGCCACAAAGCCTGAGCTCTGAGATTCTGCGTGAGGTAGAATAATATAGATTCCTCAAGAGCTGCTATTGAAGCCATAAGCAGCATGTGCCAAAGTTCCACCCACAATTCTGGTTCAGTCTCCTTTAGGCTGCACAGCTGGCTGTCACACACTCTTTTGTGGGGACATCTCAATGGCCGCACTGATGCTGCCTCTGCCCGAGGCCAGCCCTACAGTGGCCTCCCTGTCTTCCCAGCATGTGATGTCATGAGCATGAATGTCCTGCCAAACATTTAAGATGCTGCAGTTCACATTGTGTACATTGTATAGAGAAACACTGACATGCAGATTTGAAATTTTAAAAAAAAGAGAGAGAGAGAGAGAACCACAGGACAAGATACAACCCAACTTTGTTCTATTGTTATCCCTAACCACCAGTTCAGCACAAATATGTAACTTGTATTGTTAAATACACAATCTTCTCTCTCTCTCTTTTTTTTTTTCTTTGCTGTTGTAACTAGCATCTGTAGATGCAGAGATTTCTTGAAACATTCTTTCTCTAATTTGGTTTCTATCAAATTCTTGGAAAGTGTGAGCAGAACTGGTTCATTTCAAACTAAAGACTGTCTGCATGTGGTCCCTTCAGAAGGGACCGAGGAGTTGTAAGGAAGCTGGGTATAACAAAGTCATCTTGCCTCTGAGGACCACCTAAAAGGGATGAGGGAGGGGATCAGCTGCTCTACCAAAAGACATGAGAAAGGGGCCCTTGCCTTCACTCTAGCGAAGTGTGGCATGGGGATCACCTCTTCAGAATCACTGGGGATGCACAATAGAAGTACAGGTTTTTGGGTACCAACCCACATCTACTGAGTTGGTGTCCGAAGTGAATCTGAAATTTACCTGACTTTCTGTAGTGACTGTTATCTTGGAGAACAAAGGCCTCAGAGTTAGACTTGAATCCTATTTTAGGTCTGTATAAGGGCAATCTGACCTTGACAAATAACCTAAACTCTCTACACCTCCTTTCCCTTATCTATACAACAGGGACTGTGAGAAGGATTAAGTGTGTGAAGTTCCTGGAACAAACAGGTCTGAAGAGCAGGTCTTCCCTTTTCCCTACTACTCAAGCAGAGCTCTTTGGGTCTGCCCTTTTACCTGTGACTGGGGGGTCATTGTCTTCCCCTGGGTGGCAATCTACTGTCACTCTAAGTGCCAGGTTCTCATGGAGCACTAATGAGGGCAGCTAAGATTAAGAGTCATCCCCGTTTTGTCACTAAGGCAGAACCTGTCATTCTATAGCTGTCCAGTCCAAGAGCCATCAGCCATATGTGGCCACTGAGCACTTACAGTGTTGCCAGGACTAATGCAAAGATGCTGTAAGTGTAAAATCCAAAGTTAAGACTTAATCCAAAGACTTAACACAAAAAGAAGAGCGTAAAAATGCAATTGATTACAAATTGAAATGATAATACTTTGAATGCACTGGAATAAAATAGAATATATTAAAAATTAATTTCACTTGTTTACATTTAGCTCTTTAACGTGGCTCCTAGGACATTTTAAATGATATATGTGGCTCAGGTTATATTTCTACTGGACAGTGCTGTTCAGGGGGAACATCAATCCCTCCCCTCCTCCCTCACACTGATAATATAACCCAGCACTGGAGTTATGACCTACAAAATGGGATTCCCTAATGAGGCAATGATCATCCAGGAGACACTGGGGCTCTCTTTTCCTGCTGCAGGGGAAAGTGGGGCTCCTGCAGCACACCCCGCCATGTGAGAAAGCACACAGGAGCCTAGGGGAAAGAGGTGTGTGAGTAAGCACATCCACAAGAGGACACTTCTGATTCTGTAAGGAGACGAAGGGGTATTCCTTGGTCACACCCCCCGAGGCCCTCTTGCTCCATTCAGCGTCACAGTCATTACACTCTGGCAAGTTTTCACGAGGTAGACAGGGTCCTGCAATGTAATCACACAACTTGCATTCTTACAAAGCTGTCATAACTGAGCAAATATTTTGGTCAACATGAAGACTATCTTTTCTCCACAAGTTAATTTAGAAATACTTTCCACTAGGTTATAATCTCCTAATGTACACAAATCTCTACAAAAATGATTAGTCCAAGTGGATATTTCCAAAGAGGAAATGTTTGCCAACCATTATGCTATCAGCTAATGAAATTAGTATTTTTGGAAAAATACTACCAAAATAGATTATAATCTGTTCTTCCTAAGAGCAGACTCATAACTTAACAGACTTTCTGGAATAGAAAAAAAAAAAACAAAAATCAATTAGCTATATCCATCTTTGTTCAAAATTTCTAAACATCTACATGCATATGTTCCAACAAAATGCACTTAGATATTATTACCTGAAGATCCAATAAAAATGAAGTTGTTTTATAGTTTCCTTTATACTGAGCCAATTCCTTTACTATGCTGAGAATAGATAAAGGAGTATATGTGATACTTGGCACTTGGTATCTGATGGTTGCCTATTTATATGACTTAAAGAAACCATAATGTCCCTCCTTAAGAGACCTACAGAGCATCTAGGTTCCCCTTATGACCACATGTAACCATCACAATACAGTGAATAAAATATCTTTTCAATTACTCAGCATAGGGCAGAAAGACTTACTCTTGAATCCCTGACCAGATTCCCTGTAAATTACTAGTAGAAATCAACGAAAAGGTTTAAATTGATGGATGATACCTCTGGATACAACAGAATATTACAGGCCAGTTTTGCAGACAGTCTGTTATTTTATTGCACAGATTTCATTTAAAGAACAAAATGCACCATCAATGTTTGGAGAGTTTAGGGTCTTGGATACCGATACACCATCAGTGTTTGCACCCGTAAAGCCAAATTCAACAGTACGATTTATGTTAAACAATACCACTTCAAGACAGCTAACAGAATGAAAATAGAAAAGGGAGAAAGTTTTTAAAATATGTTAAATTGAAGCATATGCAAGTGTAGGATTAAAAACGATATCCTACAAACCTGGAAATCAAGAATGTTTTGTGGCATGTCAGTTAGTTATACTCACTTGTGCTATTATTTATGGTATCATTAAAGTCTGCTTGGTTCATTTCCTTCATACTGATGCATTGAGAATTTCAGGAAAACCGTGGTTATAAAAATGAGCAACCCTAAAAAGTATGTACAGATAAATGTAAAACCACAAACTAAAAAATATCCCCACCCCTTGCCCTCACCTTACAAAAGGGAAACATTCCCACGGAGGGCAAGGTCCACAATGCCCTTCCCTACCCCACCCCGCATTCCCAATTCTATCTTTTTCTATTGGTTATAACTAAGTGACCTTGGAGCTGAGAGAAGGGAGGGAACAGAGGCATCTCTATGAGGCTCCCATTGTCATCTGTAACAGTTTGAAAGTGTCTTTTATTTCTCTCCCCACACCCAACTCGGCAATGTTTGCAAGATATTTGAAATTTAAAGAGAGAGGAAAATTTTTTAATATATATATGTGTGTACATATATATACATATATATATGTATGACAAAAGAATGTCCAAGAAAAGAGCTAGTTATGGGCAAAACCATGGGAAAAAATGTGCGGCATTATCTGAGCTAAACATTTCTTTTAAGGCGACAGAAGGAGAAGGAGATGTTAAGACTACAGAATGCCAGACAGGATGCTCTTCTAGAACTTTGGCTTTGGAGCCTGGCAGAGGAGTGGGCTTCCCACCCCCTCGCAGTGGCAAGCGAACCTAGGGCCAGGGGCCCGGCATCTACAGCACCTCCGTGGGCAGGCTGGCAGCTGTCTTATACGTGCGCACTCTTGGCGTGAGTAGGGGAACTGGAGCCTGAAGAGTAGTAGAAACGATTTTCCCCGAACGCCTGGGCATCTCCAGCGCAGCAGACGATGACACAGCCCCCCACGAGGCACAGCACGGCGCCAATCCAGCCCGCATACAGGGAGTAGCCAAAGCTCACGATGGTGGTCTCACGGTGGGCGCACACGGGGAACCAGATGGTGGCGACCATGGCGCAGAGGGCTGCGGGGAAGAAGAAGAAGAGGGCTGTGACTGAGGAGCCCCATCACACACCCACAAGACCAGGCTCCCCTTCAGTCCACACACGCGCCCCTCTGGCTTCCAACCAACTCCAAAACTCAGCACACTCAGCTCTGCTCCCTCGCGGACAATCTGAACCTAAAGGTTGACATCTATTGAATAAATGGATCGAAATCGTGTGCCAGACTGCTAGGTCCTTATCTTTTCAACAGGTGGCAGAGACCAAAGAGGGCTGCTCAGGCTAAGTCGCTTCATTCGTGTTCAACTCTGTGAGACCCTGTGGACTGTAGCCTGCCAGGCTCCTGTCCATGGAGTTCTCCAGGTAAGAATACTGGAGTGGGTTGCCATGCCCTTCTCCAGAGGATCTTCCCCAGAAACAAAATAAAAGTCCAATGTAAAAACCTAGAAATAAATCATTTAAGTCCAAAAACTATGCATCTGTATTTATTTATATATCCTGACTTTATATACTTATAATTCTATTCTTACACTTACTTAATTGTATTGTAATTATCTCTTTACAACTCTATTTCCCATTCCAAGTTCTGAGATCCTTGAAGGCAGGGCCCATATCTTATGTTTGTAAAGTCAGTGTTTAGCTCAGAACCAAGTACAGAGCATGTGCTTGATATATACCAGGTGAGTGACTGGATGACCTGAGCTATTCAGAAATGAGAAACAAGATGGTACCCATTTCAATGTCCACTCTTTTTTTCTATTTGGTCAATTCACAGTACAAAGACCTGAAGAAGCTATACAAATTCTCTTGCTGTGGGGAATACTGCCAGATATCAGTGGAGTATCAGCTAGGAGTCTGAGTCTGATTGTGCTGCTCACAGTCACAAAACCTCCACATACACACACATGAACAGTTCCCAGAGTAAAAGAAGTTACCCATTCAAGGACTGTGACCCATCACAACAAAAGTCATCATCATAAGAAAAAGCCTCTACATCAGTTTTTCCCCTCCTCCTAAGCAAAGTAAGCAAAGGACAGGCAGGAGCCTATAAAGATTTTTTAGTAGGTTTTAAACCTCTATACCAGCACTGTCAAATAGGATAGCTAACAAGCTACATGGGCTATTGAACATTTCTCATGAGGCTAGTGAGATTGAAAACCAAATTCTGAGTTTTCATTAAATTTAAGTGAACATGTAGCTAGCAGCTAATGTACTAAGCCACAAAGCTCTAGAAAGTAACTTTATTCTTACTTTGGTGTCATCTGATTTCTCACGACCACAACTAGACGGAAATTTTAGGTAAAGCTTTGAGTTGGGGGACTTCCCTGGTGGTCCAGTGGTTAAGAATCCACTCCTCAAGGCAAAGAACTCGTTTGATCCCTGGTTGGGGAACTAAGATCTCACATGTTGCAGGGAGACTAAGGCCTGCCCACTGCAACTAAGACCTGAGGCAGCCAAATAAACAGTTTTTAAAACAAATATTAAAATAAATATTTTTTTAAAAACTTTAAGTTAGGATGTCACATTAAAGTTAACAGACCAAAATAAACATGTTTCTAATTGTTAGTCATAAACACTTTGATAAATTCAAGGCAGTCGTTGCACTGTTTGCTACCCAGGGAACTCTTGTCACTTCCACTTAGCACACTTTTTCTGATTTCTGCTCATCCTGAGTAATTTTCTAACTGACCTCTATGCCCACAGAGAAAAAATGTAATTTTTCTTTAATAGCACTCAAATCTTACAGCCTTGTACATTAGATCTAAACTAAAGAAAAGATTTAAGTCTTACCCATCTTGAAAGACCTCTTAGACTATTTCATTGCACTTGTCTAGCTTGTACAATAAGGTTTTGTTGACAACACGCTAAGCCCATCCCCACAAGGTATGTATAGATATACATAAATAGACATGATTTATGTCCTAAAAATGTATAGATTCTAAGTGGAAGTCAGAGTAAAAAAGTGAATTTGGGGACTCTGAATTGCTCCAACTGGCTTTCTAACAGCCTAAATCCACTCCATTAGTTGTGAACTACTCACATATTTAAGGAGTTTATATAGATTATCTTAGATGCTAAAATCTATTCATATGTTAATAACTTCACTTTACTTAAACAGCAAAGCTCCATCATGCCAGCTTCTGTAATATTTTTATATGAGATTGAGAAGATGTATTTTCCTTCCGTGAATAGAGTATACTCAAAAAGACCAGCTGATCTGATTGACCAAAACTTCCCTTTCCAGCACAGGGCTTTAAAGATCTATGATACATTTTTTTCTTTCTCTTCCTCTGGCCACAGATTCCAAGTCTGGTACTCTTGGAGAACTGCTTGACTATTGTCATAGTTATAATCTAGAGTGTCTGAGCCAGAAAGAATTGCTCTAGATTCTCCACATCAAAATACAATCCAGCTACACATACTTAAATACCAAAAGGGGGCATTTGTTCTGAGATGGACAATCTAGCAAGGGCTTCCAAACACCCATGCTTGATTAGAGGGAAAAGCTGAATTCCATAGGAAAAAAAGATTTGACTACCAGTTGATGTAGCTCAATCCAATTGATCTTTCCTATAAACAATTAACTGGATTCAAAACAGGTTACAGTTCAAGTAAAGTTTTATATTTTCCAATTATTTACACATATCACACATACACACTCACACACACATACACACATGGGCATTCTTCACATTTCATTTTAATCTCACTTAACTTCCAGGTTTGGTTTAGATTTTACAGAGTAAGATTTAAATATTGCCTCTAATTTTGCTGAATTCTTCCTCTTTTACTAAGCAAAGTAATAAAACTAGGTTATTTTCATATAGGGAAAGAATCAGGCTCAACATACCAAAAGTAACCATCAGTCTTGATTTTGAGTGTTAGATTTTGTTAGACTTTATTCCTATATAGTTTACTAGGAAAAGGAAAAAATCAGAAAAATGTCTAAAGATTTAAATAATGAACTTATAGGACTGGGTGAGTGAGTGGGTGGATGGATGGACAAATGGATAGATGAGAGGTAGACCCATTTCTAGTCTATTCTCCACTTCGTTCACACCAAAATGGGCTTCTAAAATTATAAAACTTTAATGTAACTTAACACACTCAAAGCTACAAACTCATGATTTACCTCATTAGATTTCCTTCTTTTACAATACATGCAAAACAAGGCAAACGAGCACCAGCAGACCCCTTATTTCCTCATAGATAATTGAACTCTGGGTGGAATTCCTGTAGCTCTGAGAGACCAACCACATCAAAAACCACTAGAAGATGACAGACCACCACACAACATGAAGGGAATGAGAGGTTCACTGGGAAGAGTGACCTTCAGTTGAACTCACATTGAAGAATGCTTAAAAACTAAAAAAGGGAGAGTTTACTCAATTTCAGCATGGCTTGAAGGGAAAGAAGAATATGTTTTAATCAGTAAAGTTAAAAATGCAAGTCATATCATACTCAACTAAAAGATGTGAAATGTTAATAGAACTGGCAGTAATTTTTGGCTTTCTTAAAGACATAGAAGGCCTGCTAAACTTATTTCTACTTGCAGACACATACACACGTGTGCACACACAAATTTGTAATGATTCTCTCCATATCTGAGGAAAATACAATGTTTTTCTTAAAAACCCACAGTTACCCATAAAGTAAAGAACATGGAAGGGAATTTTCATTTATTTTTATGTCATCAGAATTTGTCTCTAAAAATAAGACAGGGGAATTTTAACACTCAGATATTTCTGTTTTTCCCCCTTCTACCTTCAGAAGATGCAACAGTTAACTGCACAAGAGGAAAAAAATTCTGCCACTTGTGGGGGAGTAGAAAGGGAAAATCAGAGATATCATCATCTTAAAAATCAAAAGAAGAAGAAGGGGAGAAAGAAAGCTTCACTTTGTAGATAGAGATTCATCTGGACTTGGTCCTCTCACAAGCAAAATTCCTTGCTCTTCATAAAAGAAAATAGTCTGTCTCTTTTGACAAATTTCAAATCATTTAATATAATCAATTCTTTAGTTGATAGAAAACAGCCTCATTAAAAGTTATCAATGATCTTGATGTAGCCAAACAGAAAATATTTGGGAAAGCAGTTTTAGAGCAATGAAATGTTAAGTGCAGTTTTTCTTCTCTTTAGGGTTAGATGACACATATATATGGAGTTAAATAAATGTGATGAAATTAAATGAAATTGGCACAGGTGTTTAGCTTTGGAGGTAACAACCTAGAAAGAAAAGGGCAGATAGAGAAGCCTAGAGAGACAAAAGAGCAGCAGATTCTTACATTTCTTCCTTCCTCCAACAAACACCTGTTTTCAGACTTTGTCACTTTCTATACTAAACACTGAAAAAAACTTTTAAAAGCATCATTTCTAGATGAAGCTAATATTTTTCATTAAACTCACTTAAATTACCCTGAGTTTCATTAGTAATACTGGAGGGAAAAAAAAAACTTCCTTTATCTGATAACTGAGATTTGCTTCCAAAAAAAATGTCTGAAGACAGGGAGAGAAGTAGAAATACAGAGACGAAGCAAGTTGACTGTGAGTTGATCATTATTGGGAATGATTTTGGGTTCATGGAGTTCATGATACTAGTCTACTTTTGTGTATGTTTGAAATTTTTCACAATAAAAACTTTTTGAAAATCCCCCTCCATGTAACATTTCAGGAGGCATTGAACACAGTCTTCTACAATTGATACTATTATATCATACGATCTAACTGGCTATTCACATCAGCTTGCCACAAAGAAGCCAGTTAACTCAAGGCCACAAGTAGTGAGATTTCTGAGGAGCTGTTGGTTGAAGTCATGTGTCCTTTGTTGTTTCTTTATAATTTGAAACCAGAAAAATTTTGGTCCTACTTTCTTCACTTGCCACTCTCTAAACTTTGACTAAAGAAAACCGTGGTGGGATGACACAACGACTTTTATGAATATCTAATATTTACAACAATCATCAAGTCAATGGAATATTTGAGTATTTTCCTAGCCTGTTTTCAACACTTTCTCCTTTATTTCTATTCCACACATCACTATCTCTTTTTCCTGCACCCTTCAAAAAAAAAAAAAAGGTCCATGGTTATTAGTAAGAAAAATTTTTTAATCACAAAGTTCCAAGTTAAAAACTTTTTTTCAGTACAAATAGGATTCCTGGGGCCATATCTTTTAAAAGGAAGAGAGAAGACAAAGAATTCCACTTAGGAATTCCACTTTCCTTTCCTTCCATTCCCTACCCTGTCTCCCCAAGAAACACCAAAATCAAGTACTTTCTAACTTATAGCAAGGTGCAAATTAGTCTGAATCAGAACTAAGCTTGAGCACTTTCAGTTGTATAGCTTCCTGTGACTTTTTATAATGGAATAAGCCAAAAACTCAAACCACTAAGCCCTACATTCTGGTTTCCACAAAGCAAGCAAAGGCAGTATTTCCATTAGACCAGGATGTGACCTGGTGTCATCTCTCCTTACCAGTTCCACGTGTGGACATGACCCTGCAGAAATTAGACATGATGGAAGGAATACCCAGTTGCCTTCTAGGCAGCTCCTTTCTAGGTTACCTCTCTATTTCCTGTAACCAACAATAGCTACAAAATAGCAGCCATTTGTTGAGCACTTAGTATGTGCCAGACACGACACTAAATAACTTGGATATCTCATTTCACTGTTCTTACCAACCTCAGAAGTAGGCAGTATTGTCCCCATTTTATATAAAGCCTCAGAGGCTTTAAGTGACTTTAACGGTCCCCATTCACAGAGCTAGAAAGCGGCAGGTCTGAGATTTAGTAGTTGGTCTGACTCCACACGATAAGATGAAGCATCTCAAGGCATAGGTATCACCTGCGTCGGCAGGGGCTCTTGAAAAGCCACAGATTAGAATGATATACATCCTGGATCTGAGAAGCCTGATGCTCCTTGAACTACTCATCTGGCTTAAGAAGTCGGCAGCATCAGGCTCCCATTCCTTCCCTCAAAGCAGGAACCAAATCCTCACCCCACTGAACTCAGACTCCTGAGAAGATAAGCTGTTGTATGGGAGACATAATTTTTTAAGCTTTCAGGAAAATAAAGGTTTCTAGAGTCAGGAAGAACGGATTTTAATTAATAGTGCTTACAGTTTTCATCCCAAGATTAGCTTCGACTCTGTTCTGGTTCCCAGGTCCCCACACCCAAAGTGTGCTTGGTCAGGGACCGCACCTCACCTGGAGCACTGTCAGCGACCCCCAGGACCCAGCAGGAGCCCAGTGCCAGCTTCTGCTAGAAGAGCCCCCGCAGCCCTTCCCAGCCACACAAAGGGAGTCTTCACTCTCTCCCGCTCCTCCCACCCGCTGCCAGCCGGGGAAGCAAGGCTCTCGGGCTCCCAGAGAAGACAGGGGAGGCCAGCAGGTGCCACACTTGAGACAATGAGCTTTACATTTCCAGAGTGAGCGAGTTCGTTCCAGTCTAAACAACATCCAGCCCAAAGGCAAGGGGCAACCCGCTGAGAAGTAAATCTGGACAGGAGCAATCAAAGAGGACGCAGGCACCACTGGAGATGCAAGGAGCAGTGCCCTTGTTCCGTCATAACAGTGACGGGTCAGAAGGGGCAGCCTCCCCGTGCGGTGGGGCGTCCAACCACTCAACACCCCCTCCATCGGCTCCCTCCAGGCTGCAAACAGGGACTGAGGAGCTCCCATCCCTACCTGCCCACCCGCCTCACTCTCCTAAGATTCTGTCTATATCCACTAGCCCACTTGAAAAAAGATAAACTGTATATAATTTGACTAGGAAGTTTCAGACAACAGGTTACTATTTTTTTTAATAGCCATTATATTCAACTAGATAATTCAGCGGTTTTCAGGAGAGCTTTAAATACTAATTTGTGTGTATGACTTTGCTTTTATGTCTTTATTTCCTATAAGATTTGGGTTCGGGATATTTTCATGTATTCTCTTTTAATGTGACTCTCATACGGATGACCAGGGTTTCTTTTTTTTTTTTCAGGGTTTCTAAAGATGAACACACAACACAGCAGACCCATTCTTTGAATTTGGCATCCTCAAAGAGAGAGCCTGCTGGGGCTTCAGTAACACTGTGAGTTAAGTTACAAACAACCGCAAACGTCTAGGATGAGAAGGGTTTCACCTGGATTCTGCAAAACAGCTTACTTGCAGAACTTTGGTCTACTTACTGGAAAGGGAGTTCAGATACAAAGATCTGACCTCCAAAAAGCCTCACAAGGAAGGACCCTGTGAGTTGGATGAAACACATGTGATGCTGACCACCATGTGTTCCTCATGGCACTCCCACAGAAATTCTTTGTGGCTGGAACCAAAAGGTCCATGCCCAGATTCTTCTCCCCAAATTATAGAGGTTTTCTGATCTTTTTACTCCTATTCACACATACACAGGCAAGCCCCTCCTCTGAATTTTCCATAGCTTCACAAGTCTCTAAACACCTTTACAATCATAGGCACCCCTATGTCTTATGTCCCCCTCACCTCACCAGTGACACTGTGGGTGACCATCACTAAATAGCACTGACCCACACAGAACTCTGACTCCCTACCTTGCCCCCTCAAACACCCAGTCTGATACCAGTTTGGGGATGGAGATTTCCTGTCCCAGGGGAACTTAATTTATATTTAACTCATACCCAGACCAATGTCTCTTCACTGATAGCTCAGTGCATTTTGCAACAAGAGCTGCCATTCTGAAAATGCCTGTCTTCTATTAAGATGTAGAAGGGTGGAAATAACCTTCAAAAAAAAAAAACCAAGCGATGAAATCACTGATGAGAGGAAGGACCCTCCCCAGGTTCGTAAACCACGACCCCAGTGTGCAGGTGTAAGAGGAACACTGAACAAGCACATGTCATGTCCTTGGCCTGGGCTGTCCCTCTCTCCAATCCATGACCTAACCATCTTCTCTCCAACTCTCAAAAGTCATCGCTGGGATCCTCTGCTCTGGGAAACTCCTCCAGTCTGAACCAGATACCTTGCTCTAGGTATGCACAGCCTGTGTTCCTTTTCTAGGTAAGCATGTCCCACGCTCTATCAAGATGTCCAAGAATACTCAAGGTAGAGGCTGCCTTCTGTTTGCCAATATGCCGAGTGCCTCCCATGGTGCCTGGCCCTCAGCAGGTGTTCAATGAAATGCATACAGAATAAAAGATGGAGTGATTCATCACCTAGTGATCTACTACCCTTGACATCTTACTTTTCTCTTGCCCTTCTTTTCCTCTAGTCTTTCTTTATATGTTAAGTTCTCAATCTTGGTTGCACTTAAGAGCCACCTGGAAAGTTTTCAAAAAAATATCTTTGCCTGGTCAGCTGTCCAGAAATTCTGAGTCAATGGACCTGCAGTGGGACCTGGGCGCAGGTGTTTCCAAAAACAGACTCCATGGTGAAGCCTGAGTGGAGGGCCACCCTATAACCCTCTTCTGCCCTCTGGTCTTCTCTCAAAATCCTTTTTGTTTGTTTTTTCTTATTTTATGTTCAGTGACTCCCACAGACATTATTTGTCCCTCTGCCTCACCCACCAGGAAACATAAAGGAATACACATGGTGAGGCATTTTCCCCAGTGGATTCACATGTCTTCCTGGCCACATCTCTTGAGCAGCAAGACCTGAGATTCTTCAGGTCCGCTCCGAGGTGGGATGCTCTACAGAAAGCTGTCTTACCCAGAAGAATGAGCATGACACCAGCCAGCTGGGCCCGCCTGTACTTGGCCACGCCAGGCTCGTGGCCCATTCGGATGCACGGGAGAACTGTGAGAAGCAGGAGAATAGCCGGCAGACCCAGGACGGAGGCAGCGATCATCAGGGCTCGGCAGGCCTGCACATAGCCTGGAAACAAGAACACAGACAGGGTGGGTTAGGCCACAGTTTCCCTTGGATCCTGCATCCTGCCTCACAGAATTCAGCACCATCTGCCTGCCTTCCCTTTGTCCCACTGCAGGACTTAAAATATGTTCAAAGGTGTCCAAACGCAGTGACAGATGAAAGAGAGGCTGGGGGCAGGAGAGAATGAACAAGGATCCCTGGCTTTAGACCACTCATCCAAGCTTCCAAGATGAAGGGGCCAAGAGTCCAACTACACTGTTACATCACCTTGTAAAAGATTCAGATTGAAATCTAGATCTTCCAAGAAGTCTTCTGCTGTAGATGTGCTCTACTTGTGTGACCTTGGCCAAGTGCCTTGACACTTTTCCTCATCTAAAGAGTAAAAATAATAATAGTACCTACATCTTGCCAATGGAATCTAAGATTCAATTTGTAAATTCATGCAGTGCTCGAAAAGTGCCTAACCCAATCTAAGTACTGCAAAAGGGGTTCGCTATTATTACTGGTATTGCTAATATTACTCTGTGTCAAGGCAGCACTTTTATCTCCAGGTGTACTGGGTGATTTTTGTCACTTAACCATGTGTTTTTAATTCACATTGTTTATAGTGTGTGGTTCTAACTAGACTAAGCTAAGGCTCAGGGTCATTTTCTTGATTATCTCCTGAGAAGCTGCTATGCTTATGAATCCCTGTCCCCAAAGATGGTCAGGCTCCCCCACAGTGCCCTGGACATATTTCCACAATGGTCAATTACCCATAAAGGAATCTCTCCAACCCCCCAAGGATTCTTGGAGAACAAACACCTGCCTTGGCCTTCGTGGAGTTAACACAGTGGTCACAGCAGATGATGCAAACATACAATTATGAATGATGGCGTTAACAAGTTGAATAATAACAGTGGAGCAAAACTACCTTAACTTAATACTCTCCAATAAAATGCCAGGTAACTACTTTATTAAGAAACAGATTAGAATATGTTCAATGTTTACATAAAATAAATATGATGAGATGCTGGGAGAATATGACAGACTTAAATGCACTGCTTCTCACTAAAACACTCCTTCTTTCCAAAAAAGGAGGGGAATGGTGCATATCTAACCCTCCTCTTTACTCAGTGGAAAGTACAGCCAGTGGCCTGGGGGAGGAAGAGTTAATGGCAAAACCAGAAACAAGCCCTAACTTCTGCCTCATGTGCCAGAACCCTGACACCAAACCAGCCTACCTGTGCACCAAGACCCAACTGCAAGACTGGCTCTTAGCAAGATGTAGTTTGCCAGAATTCAGAGTCCACAGCGACTGACATCACCGACATGAGTTTGAACAAACTCTGGGAGGTGGTAAAGGACAGGGCAGCCTGGCCTGCTGTAGTCCACGCGGCCGCAGAGTTGGCGACTGAACAGCGAGAGTCCACAAGGGCACTCTCAACCATTGCTCACCTCAGTTTCTTCTGAATTAAGGATAATCAATCAAGTATCTGTTGACCTGAAGACCCCCAGAAAGCAGCTACAGGTGGTCTGAGGCAAGACCTCTGACCACAGGACCGTGCCCCTGTGGCTGGAACCAGGGCTGGCAAAAAAGAGAGTCAGCCAGCCACCCAGGTTCCAAAATTTATGGCTCAGGTGGTCCACAAGCTAGGTGCCAGGGCCGCCACGTTTGAGAATCTAAAGGAGACTGAGAGCAGTCCCTGTCCTCACCTAGAGTGTGAGAGAGGGGACCCCAGGAAGAATGAGTCCCTCCCCGAAACACACCCCATCTGTGGGATGATCTGTGTTCTCTGAAAACAAACCGCTTGTCACCAAATGCTCAGCAAACTTAATTTCAGGAAAAGGAAGCAGAGAGTAATTATTTGCTTCACTCAGAGTCTAACAAATACCATGCCCAGCTTTTAATAAAATTAATAAAACTACCATTTATGAAGCCTTTACTACATCTAAGGAGGCTTTTGCATCTCTCATCTCATTTAATCCCCAAAACAATTCTGAAAGATAGAATGAAGAAGACAGCTGGGGTTCATAGAGGTTAGTAACATGTCCCCAGTCACCCAGGTTGTGAGCGCTGAATCCGAGTCTGACCCAGATCTACCGACAGCAGCTTTAACTGAAGGCATATTCAGATCTAGGTCCCTGACCTCTGTCATTCTGAAAGTCCAAAATGGAGAGCAGAGCAGGGGAAGATGCAGGAAGGGCAGGATGCTATCTCTATATCTCTGAGGAATTTAAAATGTGGTAGGAGAACCTGATGCCGGGAAAGATTAAGCGCAGGAGAAGGGAGTGACAGAGGATGAGATGGTTGGATGGCATCATCGACTCAACAAACATGAGTTTGAGCAAACTCTGGGAGATGGTGAAGGACAGGAAAGCCAGGCATGCTGCTGCAGTCCATGGGGTCGCAAAGAGTCAGACACAGTTTAGCGACTGAACAACAAAGTAGAACCTGACTCACAAACAATAAGCAAAAAAGCCCTTAATGTGCACTAACGGGGAAAAGAGTCAAATAGCACAGTAACAAAGAGGAAGGGATAGATTCCGACTACAGAGACCTGGAAACAGGAAGCATTGAGGTGAGGCTTAAAGAAAGGCAGAGCCTGGAGGGGGACGGGTTGGCGGGGAGGGGGAAGGGGCGGGGAGGAGGCGGGGCTTCCCTGGTGGCTGAGACTGCAAAGTACCCGCCCGCAATGCAGGAGACTCTGGAGACCCGCATTCCACCCGGTTGTATACCCTGGAGAAAATCATGGCTACCCACTCCAGCATTCTTGCCCGGAGAATCACATAGACAGAGGAGCTTGGGAGGCTACGGTCCATGGGGTCGCGAAAAGTCGGAGCGACTTTCACACACACACACACACACACACACACACACACAGCCTCTAGGAGGGAGGGAGCGAAAGGCTCACCCAGGGAAGGCAAAAGCCAAAGGATCTCAGGCTTTCTGCCGGGGGCCCCAGTTACTCTAAAGGAAAGGCCTTAGAGGCGCACCATCCTCAAAGGCTAGCGGCCCAGAAGGCAGTGGTGCTTACGCCAGGGCAGGGATAAGCCAAGATTCCGAGCAGAAAACCCATAGGGGAGCCCGAGACCTTGTCAATCACCCAACTGGCTCGAGGTTTAAATCTGAATTGAAACTGGCCCAGAATTTTCACCGGGGCAGCAAGTAAGGATGGGACTCGAGTGGCGTCGGGGAAAGAGGAGACTAGGCAATCTTCCCTCCCCTCCCCACTGTGGGACGCTCCCGGAGAGGAGGGGGCGGCCCGCGGCGGTGCGCCTTTTCCTAGGGTGGGTGGGGCCTCCAGCGCACCCGCTCTTCTCTGTCCGACCCCAGGGTGCAGAGCCGCGAAGGGGAGTCGCGGCAGGCCCCACTAATATTACTATTACTATTCGAGGGGCAGAGGGCGGGGGGAAAGAGACAGGCCGCGGGGACCGCGGGGACCCTTCGGGCGCAGCTAGGAGGACCTTAACTTGGCCAGGACACCTCGGCCGTCCCACAAGGACGGGGAAACAGCCTGGGCCTGTTCCGATCGCAGGAATGCTTTTGTTTCTCTTTTTCCTCCTCGCCCGTGTGGGTACATTCTTACTGAGAAAGCAGGGCGCCTGGGGGAGGTGGGGAGGGTTGGGGTGTGTGGAAGTACTTCTGATCTTTCGTGGACGGTGGGAGCGGGCTGCGGGTGAGGCGGAGGTAATTAACATGCACGGAGTTCCAACTGTGTGTCTACGTCCCAGTTCATTACCTTCTCAGGGTGACTCGGCCAGTGGTCACCACTATCATCCCAAATTTCAGATAAGAAAACTGAGACCGACAGAGGTTAATCTCAGGGCTGCCTAATTCCTCCTCAACAAAGTGGGACTGCAGATGTCAAAGGGTACCCCCAAACCTTCACGCGCCCAAATACTTCAGTGAACGCCTCCCAATGCCCCCTCCCGCCTCTTCGCAGAGGGAAAGGGTTTATTCAGGCGCAGCCACTTGCGGGGCATGGGGAGGGGTCCTTACCCGGCAGGATGAGGATGTCCACCAGGGGCTTACAGTGATACAGCCCTGTGGCCATGACGCAGTCGGCCCACAGCCCCTTGGAGCCCAGCTCGTCCAGCTTGCGGCAGGTGGGGATGGTGTAGCCGCATGTCACCACCCAGTCATTGGTAGACGTGGTGACGATGATGCCAATCCATCCCACGAAGCTCGTGACGAAGCCCACTACCTGCAGGCATGTGGCCACCATCGTGGCCAGCCTGGCGTCCCCGCGCCTCGCCCCTTACTAGCTGTGCCCGCGTCCGGGATGGACGGCGCCTGCCCCTCTCCCGCGCTCTCGAGCCGCCGGCCGGTGACGGCGCGATGCAGGACGCTGGAGGTGGCGGGAGGCCAGGAGAGGCTACAAGCCCAGCTGCGCGACGGGCACCCGGCGGGGATAGCAGAGCGGCTGGGCAGCGCGCCCCCGCCCCCCTCTTTAAACCCCGCAGACCACGCCGGCGAGCTCCAATCCGCGACGGCTCCCCGTCCTCTGGCCAATTGCAGGGCGGGGTCCGGAGTGGGATGTGGAGGGAAGCGGGATACGGGGGGGGGGGGGGGGGGGCACGGGCGGGCTTTGCACGGTTAGTGTTGGAAATAGCAAAGTTTGGAAATAAAATAATTCGAACCACGTCCCAGTGATGAAGAGCGACAAGAGGGCGCGCGTAGGGCGCGAGTTCTATTTTGCTGAGAATTATTTCCCTTCTTGCTGCCCTTGTTTCATCTCTATCTCTGGTTCTCCGCTTCGCTCCATTCCTCCTCGGCTTCTCCCTACTCCTTTTCCCCAGCTGAGAGCAGGGACCGTGGGACTCCAGGGGGAGCCCAGTACAGTTCCTCCTCGACCCATGATGGTAACTGATGAGCTGAGAATTGCCCTACAGAACAGCCGCGAAGCATTCAGCATATCCTAGTTAACTGGCAGAAAGAAAATGAACCTTTGCCCAAATCAGCAGCCGTGGCCATGGCCATTGACATGACAACAACACCATTGTTGCTGTCTGTAGCCACTTACATTTCTGTAGCTGTGTTATGTACTATGTCTTTGTACTTGTGCTGTGTTTAGTTGCTCAATCCTCCGTGGACTGTAGCCCACCTGGCTCCTCTGTCCATGGGGATTCTCCAGGCAAGAATACTGAAGTAGGTTGCCATGCCCTCTTCCAGGGGATCTTCCCGACCCAGGAATCGAACCCAGGTCTCCCGCATTGCAGGCAGATTCTGAACCGACTAAGCCACCAGGGAAGCCTGATGCATGTGTTTACGCTTATGAATTTATCTCATTTAAACGGTTGCTACATTTGTTTAAACGTAGGAACAATTTGTCCTTTGTCCTAGGAACAATTGTTTATACATGGTACTCATGAAGAGGCAGCATGAGAGAGGTTAAGTTGGCTGATTACAATAGCAAGGAAGGGATAGATTCAACCCTCCCATCTCACCCCTCCTCACTGACCATTCCTGGGAACCTGTCCTGTCACTTTCTGAAAATTCCTAAAGGACTCAAGTGTCTCATGTGTTACCCTAAAAGCTAGGCTGACAGTGCCTTCTCAATGTAAATAAGTTAATACCTGTTCTCTCCTGAGAACACTACCTAGCCTAGAACGAGTGCTCTGCAAGTGTAAACTACCATCATCATCATTATAATCATTATCACCATCACCCTCATCACCATCACCACCACATCTTCACCATCACCTTCATCACCACCACCAACATCATCTCCACCACTTTCATCACCACCACCACCATCTCCACCACTTTCATCACCACCACCACCATCATCTCCATCGCCTTCACCACCACCACCATCATCTCCATCGCCTTCATCACCACCACCATCATCTCCATCGCCTTCATCACCACCACCATCTCCATCGCCTTCATCACCACCACCATCATCTCCATCGCCTTCATCACCACCACCATCATCTCCATCGCCTTCATCACCACCACCATCATCTCCATCGCCTTCATCACCACCGTCAACATCATCAAGTCACCTTCTCACCATGCATTCAATAAAGACCTATCATAAGTACTTTCCTATCATGTGGAGAAGTCCACCTTGTGCTATATTTACATTAAACAGTTTTAACTCTCTTTCATACATTTGGCTTCTTGTATCCTTCTATCAACAATCATGAGATTTAAAGATGAGAAGGATTTCAGCAAACACAAAACTTCCTACTCAACACTCTTAAGATATGGACTGTAAGTCACAGTTCTAAGCTTCCTTCTTTCTCTGTTGGGTGTCAGGGTGAATCACCGTGTTTCCTAGAGAAGGCTTGCCTCAAGGAGACCCCAAAGAAATCAAGTGCATCTGTAATAGATGCCAGACTGTCAAGTGCAAGAGCTGTGATAATCATCATATGAGTTAATCATCACGTAATCCCAATGATTATGTGTGTTTAAAGCTTTAAACAATGTCTGACGAAGCAACAGACAAAGGATTAATCTCAAAAATATACAAGCAACTCCTCCAGCTCAACTCCAGAAAAATAAATGACCCAATCAAAAAATGGGCCAAAGAACTGAACAGACATTTCTCCAAGGAAGACATACAGATGGCTAACACACACATGAAAAGATGCTCAACATCACTCATTATCAGAGAAATGCAAATCAAAACCACAATGAGGTACCATTACACGCCAGTCAGGATGGCTGCTATCCAAAAGTCTACAAGCAATAAATGCTGGAGAGGGTGTGGAGAAAAGGGAACCCTCTTACACTGTTGGTGGGAATGCAAATTAGTACAGCCACTATGGAAAACAGTGTGGAGATTTCTTAAAAAGCTGGAAATAGAACTGCCATATGACCCAGCAATCCCACTTCTGGGCATACACACCGAGGAAACCAGATCTGAAAGAGACACGTGCACCCCAATGTTCATCGCAGCACTGTTTATAATAGCCAGGACATGGAAGCAACCTAGATGCCCATCAGCAGACGAATGGATGAGGAAGCTGTGGTACATATACACCATGGAATATTACTCAGCCATTAAAAAGAATTCATTTGAATCAGTTCTAATGAGATGGATGAAACTGGAGCCCATTATACAGAGCGAAGTAAGCCAGAAAGATAAAGACCATTACAGTATACTAACACATATATATGGAATTTAGAAAGATGGTAACGATAACCCTATGTGCAAAACAGAAAAAGAGACTCCTATGTATAGAACAGACTTGTGGACTCTGGGAGAAGGCGAGGGTGGGATGTTTCAAGAGAACAGCATTGAAACACGTATATTATCTAGGGTGAAACAGTTCACCAGCCCAGGTTGGGTACATGAGACAAGTGCTCGGGCCTGGTGCACTGGGAAGACCCAGAGGGATTGGGTGGAGAGGGAGGTGGGAGGGGGGACCGGGATGGGGAATACATGTAAAAAAAAAAAAAGATACACTATGGTTGTGATAAAAAAATAAAATAAAATAAATAAATTAAAAAAAAAAAAAACAATGTCTGATACAAAGTAAGGCCTCAGGGAAACTGGGCTGCTATTGTATATGCTATATATGCTCTTGTATATAGAATTCTTATCTATGTTAAATTCAGAACTCTTGCTTTGGTACTTTTATGTGTTCTTGAATTCATACAAGTTTGATTTGTGGAAACTACTATATTATAAGACTATGTCCTTTTTTTGGAGTGAGTCATTGTTTCTGGGGGCTTGTCATCACCAGGGTTTATTGACCTGGATGCTTTCAGGTATTTCCTTATAACATAAAAAAAAGAGCTTTTCTATGAAGTACAATATAAATATAAAACCCTAGCAACATCATTCATTGAAACAGCAGTTATGAAATCTGATCTTATGCATTTGGCATGAGCACAGAATTGACATTCTAATGATAAAAATTAAACCAATCATAATTCAACAATGCTCAGATCTCCCACAGGTCACTCACACACACACACACACACACACACACACACACACCTACACACAGAGGCTTTGCAAAGCCGGATTTCAGAACTTAGGCACTAACTAAGGTAGAAAGAGTTGTGAAGTTAAGATATTGGAATGGAATTTCTTGAGTTCATAGTTTGACTTTACCACTTGGGCTGTCCATTATCCTATGTGATTCATCTTTTAAAGTAAGACTAGCAGATGTCCCCACAGAGTTATTGTATGGACTGAGATAACTTTAACAATTATGCAAAGCACAGTGCCCAGCATGGATAGATTCTCAGAAATGTCAGCTACTGTTAGTATTATTCACAGGCAAAATGGGTTAACTGGAAATACGAGTTACCTTTGATAAAGACTAAAACTTATATAATTAGGTTATTATTATCATTTTCTATTAATGGGAGATACAATCCTGAGATTGTATCTGTGTCTAAACAATCACAGCACAGATGGACAGAAGGCTGCTCAAGGGAGGCCAGCAAAGAATACCCTGTTTGGAGGAATTAGCTGTCAATAAAGAGAGTGTGTCCCTTGGAAAGGAAATTGGGCAGCCCTGCAATCACAGAAAACTGGGAGCCAAAAAGCAGAGACCATGAGAATCCTCTGCTATCCACAGGAGATGCAGATGGTATGGTGGCCACAAAATCCAAGGATGTGGTCCCTTTGGCAAGGCTCTTTGTAAAGTGGGGGAGTCCCTCAAGCTGTCTTAGCCAAGGGACTTTTCCTAAAGTCATCTGCATTCTTTGGTTGTGACTCTGCTCCCCTAAGCCTTCCTCATAATTAGAATCTGACTTCCAACATAGTGTAACTTAATAAACTGACAATCTAGGTCTACCACTGTTCCGGGTATCCTTTTAGTTGTGAGAAACAGTCTCTCAGAGTCCAGTCATGGCAGATGAGTGAGAACAATGAATCCCCAGACCTCCCAGACAGAGGTTTTTCCAGTTAATTTTCTCTCAGAAAATTTTGCCATCTCTTCACATTTCTCTAGTATATAGCAGAGCTATTAATAGTAAGGTACACCTGAAATCTGATTCAGGTCTTCTGTCCCTAAGTCCAACATTCTTTCCATTATGAATAATATAAGAATGGTCTTTCCTGTGGTTTTAACATACTTTTCTCAACTTTATTCTTATTTAAAGATATTTAAAGGGGAGGATTAGAGAAATGGTCAGTGTCCTAAACCCCAGATGTGTACTGAACAAAGGATGCAGCCTGGTTAACGGTTATTCCACCATGTATACCTAAAAATAGTTAATCAAACTCAATGTGATTCAGTTAAAGCACAAATGCATATTATTATACCATTATACCTAAAAATAGTTAATCAAACTCAATGTGATTCAGTTAAAGCACAAATGCATATCATACTGGCAAATGTATTTGCTGGCAGGCATCAAAAGTACACATTGAAAGCAAAGCTTTCAAAGGAATGGGCTCGCAGCGCCTACTAGTGGTTATCTTTTATCACTGCATAGCTGGTGAAAACATTTTCTGTGTAAAGGAGCCCGACTCATAGGGAAACATGATTAACCACAAACTCCAAATGTATGATCATTCGATACAAATGCAATGTACATTTACTTGAGAAAGTTCTCCTCATATATTGAGGCATCTCTTTAGGAAACCAAACATGAAAACATAGAACATATATGAAATTACTTAGGTGAGAT